ATGCATTCAGGGGCTACGCTAGCTTCACTGGCTATGCGACTACAGAGTGTATAGAGGTAAGCTGAGGAGCATGAATGCGGTAGCTAAGCTAGCTACGCTGACTACGCTGCTACACAGGATATGGATGTAAGCCTAGGAGCATGCATTCGGTGGCTACGTTAGCTACACTGGCTATGGAACTACAGAGGGTATAGAGGTAACCCTTGGAGCATGCATATGGTGGCTACGCTAGCTACACTGGCTACGTGGCTTCATAGGTTCTGGAGGTAAGCCTAGGGGCATGCATGCAGTGGCTACGCAAGCGACACTGGCAACGCGACTACACAGAGTCTTGAGGTAAGCCTAGGAGCAAACATTCGTTGGCTACGTTAGCTACACTGGCTACACGACTACAGAGGATATAGAGGTAACCCTGGGAGCATGCATACGGTGGCTACGCTAACTACACTGGCTACGCGGCTACATAGGGTCTGCAGGTAAGCCTAAGAGCATGCATTCTGTGGCTACGCTAGCTACAGTGATTACGCTGCTACACAGAGTCTGGAGGTTAGCCTAAGGGCCTGCATTCGGTGGCTACGTTAGCTACACTGGCTATGCGACTACAGAGGGTATAGAGGTAACCCTGGGAGCATGCATATGGTGGCTACGCTAGCTACACTGACTACGCTGCTACACAGAGTCTGGAGGTAAGCCTAGGAACATGCATGCAGTGGCTATGCAAGCTACACTGGCTACGCAACTACACAGAGTCTGGAGGTAAGCCTAGGAACATGCATGCAGTGGCTATGCAAGCTACACTGGCTACGCAACTACACAGAGTCTGGAGGTAAGCCTAGGAGCAATCATTCTGTGGCTACGTTAGCTGCACTGACTACGCTGCTACACAGGATCTGTATGTAAGCCTAGGAGCATGCACACTGGCTACGCGACTACAGAGGTTCTGAGGGTAAGCCTAGGTGCATGCATTCTGGGGCTATACTGACTACACTGCTACACAGGGTCTGGAGGTAAGCCACGCAGAATGCATTCTCTGGTTACCGAGGTAACCCTGGGAGCATGCATACGGTGGCTACGCTAGCTACACTGGCTACGCGACTACACACAGTCTGGAGGTAAGCCAAGGAGAATGCATTCGGTGGCTACGTAAGCTACACTGGTTACACGACTACAGAAGGTATAGAGGTAACCCTGGGAGCATGCATACGGTGGCTACACTGGCTACGCTACTACAGAGGGTATAGAGGTAACCCTAGTAGCATGCATACGGCGGATACGTTAGCTACACTGGCTACACAACTACAGAGGGTAAAGAGGTAACCCTAGGAGCATGCATACGGTGGCTACGCTAGCTACACTGGCTACGCTGATACACAGAGGTTCTGGGGGTAAGCCTAAGAGCCCGCATTCGGGGGCTACGCTAGCTACACTGACTACGTGGCTACATAGGGTCTGGAGGTAAGCCTAGGAGCATGCATTCGGTGGATACGTTAGCTACCCTTGCTACACGACTACAGAGGGCAAAGAGGTAACCCTGGGAGCATGCATACGATGGCTACGCTAACTACACTGGCTATGTAGCTACACAGAGTCTGGAGGTAAGCCTAGGAGCATGCATTCTGTGGCCCCGCTAGCTACACTGACTACTCTGCTACACAGAGATTCTGGGGGTAAGCCTAGGAGCATGCATTCGGTGGCTACGTTAGCTACATTGGCTACGGGACTACAAAGTGTATAGAAGTAACCCTGGGAGCATGCATACAGTAGCTACACTGGCTACGTGGCTACATAGGGTCTGGACGTAAGCCTAGGAGCATGCATTCAGTAGCTATGCAAGCTACACTGGCTAGGCGACTACACAGAGTCTGGAGGTAAGCCTAGGAGCAATCATACGGTGGCAGCGTTAGCTTCACTGGCTACACGACTACAGAGGGTATAGAGGTAACCCTGGGAGCATGCATACAGTGGCTACGCTAACTACACTGGCTGGCTACGCGGCTACATTGGGTCTGCAGGTAAGCCTGGGAGCATGCATTCTGTGGATACGTTAACCACACTGGCCACGCGACTACAGAGGTTCTGGTGGTAAGCCTAGGAGCATGCATTCTGGGGCTACGCTACACTGACTACGCTGCTACACAGGATATGGATCATAGATGTAAGCCTAGGAGCATTCATTCGGTGGCTACGTTAGTACACTGGCTATGCGAATGCAGAGGGTATAGAGGTAACCCTGGGAGCATGCTACGTTAACTACAGTGGCTACGCGGCTACATAGAGTCTGCAGGTAAGCCTAGGAGCATACATTTTGTGGCTACGCTAGCTACACTGACTACGCTGCTACACAGAGTCTGGAGGTAAGCCTAGGAGCATGCATTCGGTGGCTACGTTAGCTACACTGGCTACGCGACTACAGATGGTATAGAAGTAACCCTGGGAGCATGCATACGGTGGCTACGCTAACTACACTGGCTACGCGGCTACCTAGGGTCTGCAGGTAAGCCTAGGAGCATGCATTCTGTGGCTTCGTTAACAACACTAGCTACGCGACTACCCAGAGGTTCTGGGGGTAAGCCTAGGAGCATGCATTCGGGGGCTACGCTAACTGCACTGACTACGCTGCTACACAGGATCTGGAAGTAAGCCAAGGAGCACGTATTCAGGGGCTACGCTAGCTACACGGGCTATGCAACTACAGAGTGTATAGAGGTAAGCCTAGGAGCATGCATTCTGGGGCTACGCTAGCTACACTTACTATGCTGCTACACAGAGTCTGGATGTAAGCCTAGGAGCATGTATTCAGGGGCTCCGCTAGCTACA